GTGTTAAATACAGGTAATGACTGGACGTAGGGTGTTAAATACAGGTAATGACTGGACGTAGGGTGTTAAATACAGGTAATGACTGGACGTAGGGTGTTAAATACAGGTAATGACTGGATGTAGGGTGAGAAATACAGGTAATAGCTGGACGTAGGGTGAGAAATACAGGTAATGGCTGGACGTAGGGTGAGAAATACAGGTAATAGCTGGACGTAGGGTATAAATACAGGTAATAGCTGGACACAGGGTGAGAAATACAGGTAATAGTTGGACGTAGGGTGTTAAATACAGGTAATAGCTGGACGTATGGTGTTAAATACAGGTAATAGCTGGACGTAGGGTGTTAAATGCAGGTAATAGCTGGACGTAGGGTGAGAAATACAGGTAATAGCTGGACGTAGGGTGTTAAATACAGGTAATGACTGGACGTAGGGTGTTAAATACAGGTAATAGCTGGACGTAGGGTGAGAAATACAGGTAATAGCTGGACGTAGGGTGAGAAATACAGGTAATAGCTGGACTTATGCAGGAGGAATGCAGGTATTGGTTGGACTTATGCAGGAGGAATGCAAGTAATCACTGGAGTTATGAGCGAGGAATACAGATAATGGTTGGACATGCGGCTAATAGCAAACTAAATATATGGTGGAGAAATACAGGTAGTGGCTGGACTAAATGGAGTGTTGGGGCATAATGCATATCCATGATGAGTAATGACGTTTTTAGCTCGCCTTGACATCGTCAAGATGAGCTATTGCCATGGGGTGTCGTCCGTCCGTCCGTCCGTCCGTTAACATTTGGCTATGGCGAACGCTAACTCAAGAACAGTTTGAACCACATGTTTCAAATTGCATATAGTTGTTACTCATATGGGAGAGGTTTGAACGTCCTATTTTGGAGCACGCCAGTCGACCTACATTCGAGCCACGTCCACTTTTTGGCAAAAATGGAAATGGCCATAAGTCAGTCCAGGTTCAATGGATTTTGCTCATTTCTGGCATGTGAATGAATAAGGACTGGCCCCAAAACACGGGCATGCGTGTGCACGTACACGTGTGCGCACGTAAACGTGCTTGCATGCGTGCGTTCGTTCGTGCGTGCGTGCGTGTGCACGTATACGTGTGTGCGTGCGTGCGTGGGTGCGTACACGTGCGTGCATGTGTGCGTGTGCACGTACACGTGCGCGCGTGCGTGCGTGCGTGTGCAAGTACACGTGCGTGCGTGCGTGCGTGCGTACGTACACGTGCGTGCGTGCGTGCGTGCGTACGTACACGTGCGTGCGTGCGTGCGTGTGCACTTACACGTGCGTACA